GCGAAATTCGGCTCTACTCCGAAATGGAAAAATATTTTTTATATGTTGAGAAATGATTGAGAAAATTACAAAAGAACAGAAGGTGTTGACAACCCTTTTCGAATTAGGCACATCGCCTCTACTAATACATATGCTATAATTCGGTAGTTTTTAATGTCACTGACTGAAAATGAGTACCGACCATTTTTGTTGTCATTTTTTTTGAGTTGTTTAGGGCCAATGGATGTACTCTTTCTAACCATATTGTTATATTGGATTGATCGAGTCAAATGGCCGTAAAATTTGGGATTTTGTGGAGGCCCCCTAAAGAATCAAGAGCTCTCATGATAGTTATCGTATTGAACTCTTGCAAATTACTCTTTCAGTCTTTTAGGAACTTATTGTCTGTATAAAGAGCACATATTGAATCCGTTCTGAATGAATAGATAAAGGGTATCACAAAAGTATTTACATATGAAGTTTCATAAAAACCCATAGGCACCCAGAAATGACAAAAGTTTGAAATAAATTCTTTCTGATTAAGAGCTCAAAGTACACGTAGTCAACATTCGGTTTATGCGAAAGGAAAAGGAGAAAAGCCAGCGGTTTAACATGCTCCGAAAATCGGGAAGTATATTTCTGATTAGAGGGTCGATAATTATGGAATAGTCGATTTTTATGATTTTCAAAGTTTTTTGTCGACTATCAGGGAAACTGCAATACGATACCAGGTCAGTAGATAGTACGTTTACGGTCTTATATTAGCATGTCAGTAGGGAATCGTAATCGGATGTTGCTGAAATAGAATAAACAATTTTGTTTCACTTTGTGACAGGGATCTATAATTTCGATATACCCTGTATTATATGTGTGGATGTAACAGTCAAAATTGGGTAGTGGAAAAAGTTGGAATCTTTTGATTTTGTGTAACTAGATTCTTAATTTTGCTCCGGCAAAATTAGAATATTCCAATTTTGTCCGAAAATAGTCCAAGCGTGACAAATTTTAGTTTTGCCCGTAAAATGATGAATACAAATAATGTAGAAAACTTAGCCATATTACAATTATGCTCATTTAATATATGGTTATACTGTTACCCGATTGATAAAGGATAAGAGCGAGCAACGAAAGCCAAACTGATTTCAGTTCCGAAGTTCCTGGGAGAGGGAGTCGGCAAGATGAGCACAGAAAGTTGAGCACATGAGAGATAAGCGAAAGGAATAATTAGCGCCTGACTAATTAAGCACAACACCAATTATCAAATTTACAGAGCATTATGTTCATCACTAAATTGGATATACTCCGAACGCTCAGCAACATGTTTATACAGGAAATTGGATAATAAACTATGTCAACTTAAGTCTAACGATGTAATTAATTCACAAAAATATAAATAATGTTACATGATGTATGTAACTTCAATTTCTTGCTAATTGACAATGTCGAAAATCTCTGAAAACGGTACAACAAAGCAAAAACCACGATTAAATCTTGATGGCCATTCATACATCCAAGACCGACCTTACGGTGAAAAAATTTACTGGCGTAGCATTAATTATAAATCTGATAGCTGTCATTCTCGTCTACACACCTGCATAATTACCAATTCGATTCTCAAACCACCTACTGAACATTCATGTAAATTCAATGCAATTGCTCATGAAGTTCGTGTTTTTTCTCAACAAGTAGCCGAACGGGCTTTAAACACACAGGAAACGCCTGAAGCGATTATCACTAATTGCTACAAAAGTAAGTGACAGAAAACTTTTGAATAAGATCAACAATTTGAAATTCAATTTAGATATGTCAGACCCGTCGATCGCTCGTCTTCCAGTG